TGCTCAGGCACTGAGCACTGCATTGTAGGGTGCAGGTGAGAGAGCCATACGTTGGTTTTTTTTTCAGGGTTCTGGCTGATTAATGGGAGAGAGTGCAAGAGGCATACTATCCAGCAAAACTGTTATTTGTGCCCTTCATGGGCAAAGTACAAGTTCACTAAAATCATAACACAGGATGCAGAGGGTATGCGTTTCAAGGACTTACAGATCACCCTTTTTTCTTTTTACACAAAATTCATATTATTAATAAATGCACTTTTTTGGAGATGTAACAGTTTTATTTATTATCATTTACATTTTTCTTATAGAATCACACTTAATACAACAAACCAAGTGATATCTCAGCTGTTGACTTCCATGATATTTGTGGACATGAGGACATCGATTATCCTGATGATCAATTCCACAGTAAGGTATGATGAATTTTGAGAAATGTGTATTTATCTTGTCATTTTATATTTGAAAAGGGCATCAAATGCGCCTATAAGAATTACATTTGTGGTACATTTCTTTGTACATTTAAAGAACACTGATGAAAAATTATTGAATAATATATATATGCATTATCCTGGAAAGAATTTCCTATGGCCTTGCTAGATTTTATAAACAAAATCAAGGCCTTGATAGCCGATTTAGGACATGGTGTACGTTAATGTCTTCTCTGGAGTCTGTCTCTGATATTCTACATTTGCCTCTCCACATTTAAAGGTGAGGTGTCTCACAGATCCATTTTTGATAAGTTTATGTCTGAGGAGACTCAACTCTTAGGCCTAAAGATACCATATCACATGTAACATGTTTAAAACGGGAGCGGCCTGTGTCTGAAACCACTCTGATTAGGAGTGTAGGCTCTATTAAAGATCCTAAGACTGTCAAAAGCTTTCCAGTTCATTCTTTGCAAAAGATGAGGTTGTCTTAATACCTAAGGCTTCTTTCTCCCTAAGCTAGGCACTTGCTTTCACCTTAACCAGGACATTGTGCACCCATCCCTCTTTCCTACCCCAGTACATCCCAAAGAGATTGCTTGGATACAGTCATAGCTGTTTGGGTTTACCTCTCTGCTACATCTTCCTACAGACACACTGATTCCTTTTCCATCATTTCTGAAAGTCCCTAGAGGGGACAAGCTGCCTCTTACCATTTCTAGGTGTCTATAGCAGATCATTGCCAAGCATATAAGCTTGAGAGTAAGATTGCACCTTTTCCTGTCAAGGCTGACTGTACTAGATCAGTCAGTGCTTTTAGGGCTTTTCAGCATTTGAGTATCGGTTTTTCAGATTTGCAAGGCCACCACCTAGACTTCAGTTCTCAAGTTCTCCAAGTTGGTAGGTTTTAGGTAGGATTCTTCTGCATCTACTGATGCAAGCCTTTGTGTAGTTGTTTTTGTTTGCTATGTTGCCCACCCATCAGTTGGACTGCTTTTGGACATCCCAATTGTCTCAGAATTGTACACATCCTGTGCCCCTTAATAAATGACAAAGAAAACATGTTTTATAGTCCCCACACACTCCATTTATTGAAGTTTATTAAGGAACGCAGGTCCCACCTCCTGTGTTTTAGGTTCTACTCGAAATACTGCTTTTCTAAAAACAGAAGCACCATGCAAGTGGTAAGAGATGTACTTGGCTGGCCAACAGCATTTTTGTTTGCCAGTGTCCAATTTTTGTTTGCAGTTTTACCCTTTATGAACTTTAAAAAATGATTTTATGGGGTCATTGTTTTGCATTTTTGTAAAATACATTTTTTTTTGCTCTGTTTAGTAGTCATTTGCTCACTGTTCTTTGTATGCTGATTTTTGTATTTTTTATTTTCCAGTAGCCAAAATGATGAACCATTCATTAGAAAACTCCATTCCGTATGAAGATTATTTGAGAATGAAAGCTCAGACAATACCCCCACACCGAATGAAGGAATTCTTAGATTCGCTCAATGGAAAGGGCACTGAGGAAATGCAACAGTTTGTACACTCTCCAATTTCTGTCTATCAACAAAGGAACCATTTCTTTTACATGGACAGTGCAGATGTGGCTGGGTCTTTGTTGGAGCTTGCAAGGCCCATTGCATCTCCATTGCAGCACTCTACAGTAAGTCCCGGAGGTCCTCTTGATCAGCATCACCTTCCAATGCACCATGTACAGCTGCGACAGAGCCACAATGTTGACGTTCAGCAAGGCCAGACAAATAAGACTTTGCAGCAGCAGGTTGATGGACAGCCTGGTTCTGATGGACAGAATGCTAGCATTGTTGGTACTTCAGCCTCCCAGGATAGGAGGTCCTGCTCATCAGGGTTATCTCAACCTGTAAAAAAAAGAAAATTTGACTTGCCAATTGAAGACTGCTACACTGTTAATCACACATCCATGCAAAATGCTCCTGCTGCAGTCCTTGCACTGCCTGTGCAGAGCCAGCAGCAAGCCTACATTCCTCTTCGCCAAGAGCTTCTAACTGTAGATAGTAGTCAGTTATATGGACTGGTACCTGCGAGTACATCTACTGCTGGACAGTTACCTAATGTGGAGTCTTGGGCAATATTTTCGGCCCATGCTACTTGCCCTGAGTCTCAAACTTTAATAAATAATTCCGTGCCTCAGGATAACTGTGGATTGGTGCAAATGGGAGAAATTCCAATGAATCCTAGCAGCATTAAATTAGAAGAAAGCAAAGAGACTCTTGAAGCAAAAAAGAATATCTGTGATAAAATGGCACACAATTCTGGCACATCGGGGTTTCCTATGTCAATACTAAACATGAACGGAAATATTCAAATTCCATTATCTTTACAAACAGGGGGACGTGTATACCAGTCTTCAAAATACTGGGATCAGCAAGTGCAGGTTGGTAACCATAATATGATGATGAAATGGATAACTCTGTGTTTGTGGCTTGGACCAGGTCTTTTAATAGCATAATTAATCTGCAGAAAATATATTTTGTTAATGCAAAACTTCAACTTTGTTCTTATTTTGCATTTTTTTTTTTTATGTATTGTACATGATGTATGTAGGACTGTTTATTTTTATTCCATGCGTGTGATGTTGAAGGTGTTACATTTGTGTGGGAGTAACCATATTAGAGCTCTCAGGTTTGGCTATGTTTGTTGCTTTGATCATAAGACAATTACACATTCCATTCTTGAATATTTGCCTACCTCCTAAGGGTGCACCAGTGTTGTAGGTGACTCTATAGAAAAACATTCTTGGTACCCTTGTGGGTGTGTGCTTAGTATATATGTGAGGCAGAATGTATGGGCAGTTTTTAGAAGCACACATGTGTTTGTGATGCTGTACTTAAAGTTAACAGGCTCAACAGGACCAGTGACTAAATAAGGGGAGTACCAAGGAGAGGAGGACAGTCACAGACCTTGTGCCTTTTAAAATCAGATTGAATATGTTATCTTTCTATCCTGACAGGTTCGCTTAAAAAAAATAGTCTTTGCTGCTTCACATACTAGATCAGTGTTTTTCTGTCCTTTTAACACATGGAGAAGACTGTTAACCCAAGCAGGACTTTTACAACCATTTGCTCAAATCACTCTGGCAGGGTAGGCCAAGAACTTTTTGGTGTTGGAAGCTGACCAATAAAAATGCTGCTTTCAAGAAAATAGTTTAGAGTGCCATGGAGAAGATGTGGGAGAGCTGGAGGTTTTTTGTGGGCGAGTAACCATTCATGCAGCATAGCTACAGGTGAAGCATGGCAGTATGAACCTCGTCTTTTACAGACATAACAGGATATAACCTTGGTTCGGCTTGTCGCAGTCAGGATGGGAACATTCATACACCTGTAGGCCCTTCCTACCATTGCATTCTCAGTCTGCATTCTCAGGTGACAAATACATCAGCAGAGAGATTTCCCTGGCTTAATAATATCCAAGACATATAAGAAGCCAGGGGCTAACTCAGCCTAAAGCTCAGGGAAGTGGCACTGAATGCTTTTCTGCATCATTATATACTTGCCCTTAAAAACCTAATTTCTATTTTGAGTGGTTTCCGACCAGCAAGGAATATTGAATGAAATGGTTGTGTTTCCCTAAATAAAAGTAGCACTTTATTAGCTTGTTGACCTTTACCACTCGACAACAGTAAGGGACACCAATTGCTTTCCAATCTTTCTACTAAGTATTATGATAATGCAGGATAGATATTGTGGCAACAGTTTGTGCAGTGCTTTACAAAACTACAATACTATTCATGACATGATGGATAGGAGGACCCTGCTCCTAAGAACTTCTAAAAAAAGGAGCTGGTGGTACAAAAGGTAGTAATTGATGGATGAGATGATGGAGAAAGTAAAAGTTCAGTTTGCAGGTAGGTGAAGGCGGGATAGACTTCTCTCAAGAGATGAGTTAAGGGAAATTTATGTGACCATAGATACTGCTTTTAAGAGTTTACATTCGTTGTGTGAAGATCTTTTGCCTTCAAATTACAAATATTTAAACACTTTCTTTTTTATACCTATATAGCCTCAAGGGTTGCAGTGTTCCACACCTGAGCCACACCTCCGATTACAAAGTAATGCTGATTTTCCTTACACCCTTAAACCAGACGAAGGAGCTTTACTTTGGAAGACTTGGGCACAGATCAAAAATGCAGAAACATTGAAAGAAGCCGAAAACAAATTGTGGTTTGGAAGTATGCCTTTTGCTTGTATAATATACCATTTGTCTAAACATAAAAACATTATTCTGTTTTTTAGTCTAGAATTTGCACCAGACTATGACATATACTTAAAGATGAACGTTACCCACCAATTTAATGTAATTGAATGTAAAACAGTTACTTTTAAAGCGTGCCAACTGTCAAGGTTGCTAGAGTGCTTCTTTCAGCTCCTAACCGAACTTTCAAGCCCTCAAATGGCTGGTGTCATAGCTGATCACATGTGCAGCACCATGGCAACTGCAATCCAAATAGAGGCTAAGATGGCACCTTCCTTGGCTGTAAGGGTTAGGGGGTTGTAGTTCCGCTTTATAGCTCCCCTATTCCCAAAAGCACTAATAATATTTGCAGCTTTAGAAGTAATGTACTAAAGTTATTAATTTTAACCTAGCCTGTGATCACCAGTGTGGGTCAGGTTAATAAAATAAACAGAAATTGCTCCTGGGCCTGGCTGGCCATTGGGTTTTAAAAATGAACACAAACTAGTGTGAATTTTACTCACTTTGTAAGTAAGCCCCAGTATACACATGCCCTTGATAGAAATTGACATATTTACCATTTATGTAACTTCCTGTGCAATGTATTGCTCTATATTAGCTGCTATTGGTTTACTTTAATGGGACACAGGACATGAAGTCAGCTGTGTGTGAACAAATATCACCCCCGCAATACAACCTTAGTTGTAAACAACTTAAATTCTAATAACCTTCTGAACATTTAACATATTTAGAATTGAATAATTCCAATTCCTATATTATCTATGACGGTTTGTGAAGCCCTGTCTGTAGAGGCAGCAGGAATCGAAGGGGACACAGAGGTGATCCAGCTGCCGGCCTATCGGGGAGGAGAGAAACTGTCAGGAGGTCAAGTGGGGAGAAGGGAGCTTTCAGGAGGCTGAGCGGGGCGGTGTGGGAGGAGAGCTCAGCTCCTCTGACAGCCGGGGCAGTCAGGATGGAGAGCGGAGCACAAACACACGATCGGTACTGATCGCTCAGTGTTTCTAAATAACTGAGGATATAGTAAGCGTATTATGTCCCCAGTTATCAATGAACAGGAAGTGCTATACATGCTTTAAATATTTACTATTTACTCACTTTATGAATGAACAGGAAGCAGTTTAGTACAGAGACTTCCTGTCCATTCCTGACTGGGTTAATGGTAAATATTTATTATCTCAAGATTGTTAATGAATAGGAAGCCTCTGTACTGAGAGCTTCCTGTTCATTAAGTGCTGGGGCTGTAGAAAAAGAGATTGAGGACTCCTCAATCTCATTATCTATGTTAAAAGGGAAATATCAGAGGTTTAGACCCCTGATATTTCCCCAAAGCCCCTAACAGTAAAGTAAAAATAATTAAGAAATAATCAAACATTTTAGAAAGGTTGGAAAAAGTCATTTTTTATTTTGGTTTCGCCCTGACAAATTTTTTAGTATCGGTCTAAAAATGTAATTTCGGTGCATACCTATCTAAAAGATTCTCATATGTTGCACCATTTTCCAGTCACTCCAGTCACTCCAGTCACTCAAGTAACTCAATTATTGGTCTGCCGGTCAGTTTGTCAGGCAGGCGCAATTGGATGTCCATTGTTAGGCTATGGACAGCCGTGTGTAAATAGACGGGTGTTCGTTTACACCCGGTTACTCCTGACTCCGACCACGTATGGAAAAACAAATGGAACAGAAATCGCTTTCACCAGACCTCATTGTGCCCGATCAGGGGCAATCTGATGTAAACAGTCCGTTTACCACCGGCTCCCTATAGACCGACATGGGGTCCGGCAAGGGGGGGATCGCAAAACAGAGGAAAAAACTGGATGGGCATAAATCTCACAGCGGTGACTTCCGATCCGTACTGCTCCAATCGAGGGGATCTGTCTGATCAGCCTGTGTAAAAGGGCCTTATTTTCAGATAATGTACATTTTATTTTCCTTTTCCAAAAGAGACATTCTGATTTCCAGCATGGAAAAACAAATAATATCCCGTTTCTTTCTTTACACTTTGCATCTGCTACAAATATTTCCAACAAACACTTAATTCAGGTTCTGGAATATTTATAAAGATAAATAAAGTCATTTCTCTGAGAGGTTTATCTTTCATTTCTAAGAATGTGTTTAGGATGTTTGGTTTACACACACAAGTCCTTCAGCTGTTTTCTTAGAAACCTGTACTAAGATAATTTATGTATATAGGCAGCATATTTCCCTAAAAAGCTAGGCTTGCTCTCAAATGACTTCTTGCTATATTCTACTTACTGCTGGTATTCTCATGGATTAGAGTAGGACCACAGTTGCAAACGCACCTTTAGATTTGTGTAAGGCTTACACTTATATTTGCAATTGTATGCAACGTAGACCTCTGTTTTGTTAATGTGAGAAATATGTCCTAAACAGGCTCTTTTTTATTTATTTTTCCCTGGTAAGCTTTTGTTATATGCAATTGCAGCACATTGCTCATCCCACATCAACATCTCATGCTAGAGCTGATGATTTAGAACAAAGTGATCCTAGACGTATACTCTGTTAAACCATATGTTTTATCTTTTTCCTAAATTGTAGCTATTTGCAGACCAAATGTAGTTTCTATTGACAATATTCCATTGTGTTACAGGAAGAAAGCCCCTCATGTTCAAGGAGGATGTTCTTTCAGTGCCAATTGCAGAACTAAATTATGGCTTGTGCTTGATAACCAAAGAAGCAAAAAAGCACGATGGTTCTTCATATGATGAAGACATGCTGTTTTATTTACTACTTTGTCTACAAAAGGTAATTCTGACTGTTATATTATGTGCTGCAGAGATAATGCACTAGGACCTCTGGTGCACCAACACCGTATACAGTTTCTGGATATTTACAAACTGACAGAGAAAGGGCAGAGAGAGCCCGGCTTTAAGAGCTCACTGGTTAAGTTGACAAAAGGGGTTTAAAACAAAACTCTACAAGTGAGGTCAACCGGTCTGAGTGAGGTAAAAGGTATTGTAGAACTGTTGCAATAGAATTGTCATGTGAGAAGCTGATAAAACTTGATGTGCAGATAGTCTTTGGGTTGGAGTGTGTAACATGGCCTGTGTTTTAAATGGTACAGCCCTCTTCATACCCCTGCAATATAATTCATTATATTGGGAACGCACCTGCAAAAAAAAAAAAAAAGTTTTTAGTGGCTTCTGTTCAGATACCTGTGCTGAATTGCTCTGTTTTGTAAGTTCCTACATGTTGACACACTGATGCATGTTAAGAACAGAACTCCAACATTTACATTGTTTCATGCTACAGTCAACAGCCTCGTTAAAGTATCTTTTTATTATTATTATTTACTCCTAGACTAGAGCTGAAAGATTTTTAAAGTGACCTTGACTTGTTGTAAATCTGCTCTAAATCTAAAGTAGGGGTGCACAGATACCAGTGCCGATACTTGTTTTTTTTCACGAAAACTAGCGGTTGCAGCTGGGACCTGGCTCTGGTGCTCCACCGCTGTCCTGAAATCATTAGTCTGTATTGTTTTAGAAAAACTGTCACATGACAATAAACAAAAAAGTATCAGTAATTGTACCTGTGAAGACAAGTATTGGTACTTGTACCTGGCCTGGAAATATAACAAATCATACAATAAAACAGGGATGCACAAATCCCAGGAGCTCTGTATGCTCCTTAAAAATGACGGCTGCCTCCTAACTTTTGATTTTTTTTCTCTAGTCTAGTAACTGGAAAAGTATTTGTACTTGTACCAAGTATGGCACTTGGTATCTGTGCATCACTAATCTAAAGTAACAGTAGTGAAGTGCAGGCTGTTCTGCAAGTACCTATGTTTGTCTTTAAATTGATTGCTGTGTTGCCTTCTTGGATCCTAGGCCCAATCTGTAGGGGCCCTGACTTCTGCCCAAATTGAGATTAAGCCCTGGCCCCTGCCATTCTACTCTCAGTTTAGATGAGCAGTAGAGGCTCTGATATTTAACATTTTAAAAACAGGGTGGGGCTCTCTACTTGGGTGGAAGTCAAGACTCCATCTGCAATCTGGGTTTAGGATACCTGGGGACTACATAATAATCGGTTTAAAAGACTAACAGATATTTGCACACACAAAGTACAGCAATTCAGCACTGTTGTTACGTTACACATGTTTAGGCTAGATTTACTTTACTTTACCCCTTAGTGACGGGAGATATTCACTGTACGCCTCCGCCACTGATTGCCCAACCCTCGCTACATGTTTCTATGCTGAACCAATGTTTCAGCCTTCTGATCGTTCTGCCACTGATAGAAGCATTTAGTTATACTGATCCTGATATGCTGTTCCTATGTTTGGAGCAGCCTAATAATAACCAAAAATGAATTAAATTATCAAGCAGTCATAGTGAGATCCATTCACAATGACTGCATGATGTAATTAAAAATAAATAAAATTAAAGTGTAATTTTTTTAAATTCTATCTCCTATCTATCTATCTATCTATCTATCTATCTATCTATCTATCTATCTATCTATCTATCTATCTATCTATCTATCTCATTATAAAAATTAACCCATTACAATGAAAATCTGCAGATTTTTTTTCACCCAAAGGGGTTAATTTTTAATGTAACTCCCTCATGACAGCTATGTCCAAATTATGTTGCTGTCCCTAACTTAGTGACATTGTATGCCATATGACCACCATTAGCTTTTAGCGAAAATAAAATGTTAGCTTTCAGTTTTAGGCTGAAAAGTACAGAGAATGTTCTGAAATCTTAGAGATGGGAGGTGTTTCCAAATAAAGGACAAATAAATGATTTTTTATTTTAATACATTTTTTTTAGCTGTGCTATTTGTCTTAAAAAATTAACTGGGGAAAAAGTGTTTTCTTTGTGTCTCCCCCTCCTCCCCCCCCCCT